CATACCAAGCACAGTTTGAGTTACTGGCTGAATAAATGGGGTGGAGATAGGTGTGCAGTGCAATTAGCCAAGATTATTAAGGGCGGATGTGGGTTCTCAGCCAGTTGACGATGAGTGAAGCAGTTACATGTCACTGGTAAAGGTATTGGAACGAAGGTATGTAAATATGCAAAAAAATTGGGTTTACAGGGGTGATTCTGTAATCGTACCAGTAATTGTTGGTGAATTGCACAGCTCTCAAGAACGGGAAAGTATGGCTTTTAGGGCGTACCTGGAGCGTCCTGGTCTGTTAGCTGGTTTGTTGAGGGACTAGTTTGTGGACGCATTGGACAGCCTGCTGCTCAAGATTCAGGTGAAGCAATTCAAGCCTGTAACTCTACAGGAAGCTTGGCTAGAGCCTTGAGTTTGAATCTTAGGTGAGGTCAAGTTTAAGCTTGGGGACGAGTCTAGCTCCGGGTTTAATTCACGAAAGGGCCAAACAAGAGACAGAGAGAGAGATTTAAAGGAACCTGCTGGTATGCGAAAAGATTGGGCATAAACAGGGAGGACTGTTAGCAAGCGTGAACGAGGAGCGAGCAGGGGCAATACAGAGAAGAACGTGGAGAAGAGAGGATGTTGGACGTGGAGAAGATGGAACTTAAAGACTAAGTGCCCACAGAATTCCAAGGGATGGAAAGAAGAGCGGCCAACTAAGACGGAAAACTAGAGGTGGCTGGTGCTGAGGCAACGACCAGCCTGTCTCACCAGAGCCCCACTGTTGACAAAATACAACCGAACCACTGTAAGCAGTGTCTAGGTTGAAGGAGATCGATGGCATAAGTCCGTTGGTGATCGACACAGCCTCGAAGCAGACTTGTGAGGGGCCGGACGTAGTTAGTCATCGAAAACTAGTTGAGACCTCCCAGCAGCTGCGAAAACTGGACAATCTGCAGTGCTAAAGGGACCAGTGGATATCGGCATCAAGCTAGGAGAGGAGAAGAACTACAGGTTTATGTAGCGGATATAGAAGACCCTTGCATCCTGGGCCTGGACTACATCTACTCCTCGCAGGTGTCAATTGACCTAATGATGCAGCTGAATATTAAAGGAAAGTGGGTACCGCTGAGGACTGTGAAGCATGAGCTAGGTTACAGCTAGCGGTCAGTAGTTATTCCCCATGTTCAGAGGTGCTGTTGCCATGCAAGGTAAATGGTGCATACCCGTCTAGGAATGGTGGGAGCCTGATGAGCAGTGTGGGAGTAGAAGATGGAGTGATGGTGGGGGATAACTTAGTCAGATCCATCTGCAGAGAGGTACCTGTAATTGTGGTCAATTTTCTCCGGCCAAAGAAAATACAGCAGGAGTGGTAGATGGACTTTGCCAAGGTCGACCAGGAGTAGCAGCCAGGACTTGCAAGAGAGCGTATTGGCAGAAAAATGGTCTGCCTACCTGCATTTGCAGGACTTGTTTTCCAGGAGCTCCCAGCGTCTGGGTGAGGCCTAAGTGATACAACTGGAACAATTGTTATTGAAGTATACGGACGTCTTCGCAGGAAACCTAGACCTGGGTTATACAGACCTGGTACAGCATCACATCGACACTGAGGATCACCGCCCAATCAAGCAGCCGCCCGAGGATAGCAGCACCTCGTCGCCAGGAAATGGAGAAGGCGGGGCCTTATTCACCAAGGTCTGGTCGAAAAGTCCGGCAGTCCGTGGGCGTCAGTAGTCGTCCTAGTGAGGAAGAAGGGTGGCGCAGTGTGGTGCTGTGTGGACTACCGCGCCCAATGACGTGACGGTGAAGGGACTTCCTTGCCAAGAATTATGATCACACTGATGCTCTGACAGGCACCAAGTGGTTTCAACACTTGACATGAAGTCTGGGTATCATCTGGTGAAGATGGCTGAGGAAGACAAGAAAGACAGATTACATGGACAAGGGCTATGGCAGTTCAAAGTTATGCCATTCAGCCTGTGCAACACCAGCTACCTTCGAACGCCTCATGGAGGGTTCTGGAAGACATGCACTGGAAGACTGCCGTCATATATCCGGACTACGTGATTGTCTTTGGCAAAACTTTCGAGTAGGAACAGGAGGCTATAAGTGTTTGGGTTCGGGCAGCACACCTTAAACTGAGCCCAAAAGTGTTACTTGTTCCAGAAGGAATTTTAAATATCTGGCACATATAGTAAGTGAAGACAGTACACAGACCCGAAGGTGGCGTGGTGAGAAACTGGCCAGTGTCAACTTGTATAAGGGGCTTTGTACTTACTGCTGTCGATGGTCACAGCACCGTTGCTGAAAGCTGACTAAGAAGGGCAGAAGTTTCTGTGGACTACTGAGAGTCAAGGCTCCTTCGACCAGCTAAAGGATGCCTTGGTCAGCTCTTGGTTGCTCCGTAATTCACCCCAACTCAACCATTCATCTTGGACTGTGATGCTAGTGATGACGGCATCGGTGGGGTGCTCTCCCAGAAGAAGGATGACATCGAGTACATAGTGGCATACTACAGCAAAATTAAGCTCTCCATAAAGAAATTATTGTGTGACTGGAAGGAACTCTTAACTGGTAAAGAGTTTTGACTTTTCCATCGGATCTAGATTCACCATCCGGACTGACTACGCAGCATTGAGGTGGCTTAAAACTGTGAAGAAACCAGAAGGACAACTGGCACGGTGGATTGGGAAGCTGGATCAGTACAATTATACCATGGGAGATTAGAGATGGCTGGTGCTGAGGGGCAACGACCAGCCTGTCTTACCAGAGCCCCACTATTGACAAAATGCAACAAAGCCACTGTACACCTATGCAAGGTGTCCGTTGGTGATCGACACAGCCTCGGAGCAGACTTTTGCGAGGCCGAAAATGGTCAGCTATCGAAAAGTACCCGAGACGTCTCAGCAGTGTGCGGGATAATTGGACAATGCGCAATGTTTAAGGGACCAGTGGATATCAGCATCAAGCTGGGAGGGGAAGAAGAAGCCCAGCAGGTTTATGTAGCGGATAGAAGACCCTTGCATCCTGGGCTTGGAAAACCTCCTACCTCGCAAATGCCAACTGGACCTTGGCTCGATGCAGCTTAACATTAAAGGAAAGTGGGTACCGCTGAGGACTGTGAAGCAAGCAAGTGCTTAGGTTACAACTTGGCGGTCAGGAGTTATGCCCTCAGGATCGGAGGTGCGATTGCAACGCAAGGTGAAAGGTGCCTTGCATGCCCGTCTGGGAGTGGTGGAGCCTCATTGTGACCAGTATTGCCAGAGAGAGGCGCTTCCCAAGAAGTGTAGTCACACTACAGTGGAAGAGGAGCCAACCATTGCTGGTGAAGGCCTTGCGAAGCTGCAGCTGGAAGACCAAGACCTGCGACCAATGGTCAAGTGGATAAACCAGAGCTCAGTGCTGCCAGCCTGCGAGACAATCTCAAGAGCAGGAGTGACGACTGAAAACTACTGGGCACAATGGGATGCTCTTCGGCTGAAGGACGGTCTGCTGCAGCGCCAGTGGGTGACTACCAATGGCCTCAACAGGTACTGGCAGACAGTATTTCCCCGGAAGATGAGGTCAGAGATCCTGAGGGAGATGCACAACAATCTAACCAGAGGACATCTGGGAGTGAAGAAGACCCTGAGTCACCTGTGGCAAGGGTTTTAATGGGTTGGCATGCATAAGGATGTGGTAGAATGGTGCCGTTCATGCAATGTCTGCTGCGCCAAGAAGGGACCAAAGTTAAACATGCGTGCCCCACTGCAGCTGTACCATGCAGGCGCACCAATGGAGAGGGTCGCAGTATTGCAGGACCTCTGCCACTCACTGCAGATGGGAATAGGTACTGTACATATGTGTGGCCATGGATTACTTCACTAAGTGGCCAGAAGCTTATGCCATCCCAAATTAGGAAGCCACGACTGTTGCCAGGGTGCTGGTGGACCAGTTCTTCTGCCGGTTTGGTGTGCCCCACAAGTTGCACTCGGACCAGGGCAGAAATTTTGAGTCAGCTGTGTTCAGCGAGTGCTGTAAACTGTTGGGCAAGAAGAAGACTAGGACCATTCCACTTCGGCCACAGTCAGACAGAATGGTGGAAAAGTTTAATTGGACCCTGGGATAAGAACTAGCCAAGTACTGTGTTGCAGGGCAGACAGAATGGGACCAGAAGCTGCCTGCTTTGCTAATGGCATATCAGTCGGCTGCCCACGTCAACTAGATACACACCGGCAAAACTGATGCTGGGTCACGAGCTGCACCTGCCAGTGGACCTGGTGACAAAAATATCATCTGATGAAGAAATTCCTGAGGAAACCACCAGTTATGTCATAAGCCTCCAAGAAAAGTTGATGGAGGTCCACCATCAAGTTTGAGGAGCTTTAGAGTTCTTGGTGAAGTGATGAAGCGCAACCATGATGTCAAAGCAAGCCAAGTCTGTTACAAGGGCGGTGATAAGGTCTGGCTGTATAGCCCTCTGCGGAAGAAGGGTCAGTCACCAAAGTTGCAGAGTCCATGGGAAGGACCATACACTGTAGTGGAATGCCTTTCAGATGTGACCTACCAGATCAGGGGAAGAAGGAAGGCTAAGTCGAAGGTAGCCCACATCCATCGTCTGTGGCAGTATCATGGGCCAGGGCAGTACTCCTGGGAAGACTCTGAGGAGCTGTCAAGTGAGAAGTCCAGCTGTGAAGCCATTACCCTGTTAACAGTGTTGTGAAGAATAAGTGACTATTAAAGAAGACTACAGTGCACAAGTGTGTTTCTGTGACCTGGTGGAAATCTATCTGCCTATTGTTTGTCTGTACACTGATACCAATCGTCGGGAAATTACTGGAGACTGGTGGGACAGCCAGGGGTATCTTGATGACAGATGTGAGATATCTACTGCTTCTGTATATGCGACCCTGGCCGCTGGTAACCAGTGGTGGAAGCTGGGTAAGCGGTGAAAGGAGGGTTGCAACAATAGTTTTGCGCATGATCAAAATATTCATCGAGTCTTGAAACGGTTATACAGGGTAATTATCAAGAAGAGTCATCTCCAGTGAATTAGGAAAACTTTGCTTTATTGACTGGGCTGTGGCTCACTATTATAGGGCATGATGTGAATCTTGGTTGACTCATGATACAGGAGATAGTGATTTTGCTTTATATGAATGAGGCGGTACCCATGTTCTTGAAGGTTTTCCTTAACTTCGTCTAGACTGAAGAACTGCAGGAGTTCATTATCTTGGTACAGAATCATCTGGAATAGGAAGCACGATATAGGTAACCACAAACACTGTAGTTCACTGAAAAAGGAACAGTTACAGTAATATAAATAAGAAATAATTATAACTTTTGTATTTTGTTGACGAAATTACAAAATTACGAGCACCGCTGCAAAAACGACACCGCCTTTGTCCCAAAATGCATTGTAGTAATTAAACGATAACCAGAAAGATGGTGGTTGTTATTTATGATTCGTAACAAATTGAGACTAATTTAGTGGTGGCCCCTGGCACGCACGCACGCACGCACGCACGCACGCACGCACGCACGCACACACACACACACACACACACACACACATATATATAGTGCGTTTTGTCAGATCAAACCAGTATAAAAACATACATATCAGTAACTATGAGGGAAGTGCTACCGATAGGTGGTGGTTATTGTTCGTACCATGATCACTGCCGATATAGTAGCCTATGTGTCATCAGTTCTCTGGTGTGTTAGCTTTGGTCTTGGCGGGAGGTGTAATGATTGTTTATCAGATCATAGCTTACAGCCCAGAGAAGGACAGCACATATAGCAGTGACTGGAAGCACAGGTGTATACCCACGTAGGCTGACCCGCCCTTCATAATTAAAGTGAGATTAAGACCTGACCCAGCAGAGATCACGGTCACAATGAAACAGTTCTCACCGCCGCGTGATTAGTCAAACCGGTGTCATGAATGTGTTAACTCAAGAAACTACACTCCAGCCAGCACCTGTTCAAACACAGCTGTCTCGACACACCCAGATTAGTGTTAATTAGTGACGACATCTGCCGGCCTGACACCACCAATATAAGGGGCCGACAGCTCCTTCCCACAGACAGACAGGGAGAGTCAGAATTTAGGTGAAGACGGATTCACGCTCGTCACTAGTCGAGATCGGGAGGAAGACTTCCCTTCCCAGCACAGAATCCCCAGCTAGCAAAGTCCAGCAACCCCTGGGATCAGTCTCTTCAGCAGCACCAGCAAACAGATTCCCCAGCCGCTGGGCCTCCCTCAGGTCACACGTGAGTCATTGTCAGAGCGGTCCGCAGGGTGAGTTACTTATGGTGAGAAGTGTATCCATATTATGTTTGTGTCCGGGAGTCATTGTCTAGTAACTTCGATATAATGATTTATTAATGTGTTCATGCCATCCAGTTAACTAATAAATAGCTGTACTTAGAATTGGTGTTTAGAAAATTTCCCATAGGACATAGTAACGGTTAAATACCTAATCGGCCACGTTACCAACTTTCCTCACTTTGCAACTATAAATTCTTACTTTACTTGTACTTCCCACTTCACCCTCATTACACTGGCATGGCGGTGAGAACTGTTTCATTGTGACCGTGACCTCTGCTGGGTCAGGTCTTAATCTCACTTTAATTACGAAGGGCGGGTCAGCCTACGTGGGTATACACCTGTGCTTCCAGTCACTGCTATATGTGCTGTCCTTCTCTGGGCTGTAAGCTATGATCTGATAAACAATCATTACACCTGTAAGCTATGGTCTGATAAAAATTATTACACACACACACACAGTTAACAAGAGATCCGGAAAAGGTATAATTTGGAAGTTTATTTAATTAAATTTCGTAAGAAATAAAATTGGGATTATGTTCTCCTTTATAGAAGTTTTATAAGTAAATCATTCGTACAGAAACCAGAGACTATGTAAAACAAGCCCAATTCTTATATATAAAAAACTTTGGGTACAATATGCATTTTCTTCGTGGCTATTACAGAATATTTAATATTGTCTGAACATATATGAATGGAGATTTTTATCAACTTTGAAAAAGCCAAAACTTTTCTTTTGATATCAGTCAAACATAATATAATCTAATGAGCTAATCAGACCCGCCATAGAAATGTCCGCATATACCTGGTTGGTGTGCGTTAAAGAGTATATGACATCATGGAACCAGTTCAACTTAAGACTGCCTTTCAACCGTATCTGTTCGTCTTTCCTCTTCAAAACTGATCGGCCTGTTAGCCGCTTGGTCGGTCATGTCTGTTACGCACTGTTGGCAAGTACTGGACATATACTGGCTCCATAGTCCAAATGTTTGCGTACATGTGCCAGTATTGGTTAAGTCAGGTCTTAAATGAACTCATTCGGTACCATTGTTCTGCAAAATATCTACCGCTGTGAAATAAGTCACAGGTGACATTTTTGCATAAAATCCATGTAAAATAAGTCCCACTAAAAATATCTACCCAGGTGTGGTTTCAGATATGCTTTCAATAAAGCTATTGTTCTTTTATATCTTGAACTGAGCATATACTCTGAGTTGCTCATGGCTCACGGCATGTGAGTAATGATCTATCAGTACATGTATAGGGAGGATTGATTGATTGACTGTGGTAATTGCATTTCTGGCGACGCAACTGCTTAAGTCATATTGTAGCCTAGTTAAATGAAGGCTTAAAAGACTAAATTAATGCAAGTTAAAAACAATAAATAACATGGAACGTCCATAAAACCATTTAATCGTTAATAAATAAAATTGAAAGCTCGCCTAGAAGGCCGGCTTCCTCCACAAAGGAGAGGACGAAAATTCTGTGCACGAACCATTGATGATTTGAGTATACTGAACATTTAATATGGATATGTTTCCACTTTGAACATTATTTTTGCATTTGACAGAGATTTGCCGTAAATAATATATTTATATTTTTCCGTAAAAGCACCAAGATAAAAAATTTTGTTTTATTGAACAGAGAATTCATTTACCTTGACATGGAAATGATTGCCTATATCCTTGTTTTCTGTGAGGAACTTTGTCATCATCTCGAAGCCGCCGCCGGACACATCTAAGATGAGCAGATCAACCTGAAAGGGAGGAAGGCGTCGATCACACCAACATCCTACATGTCCTACTGTACGTGATAAATGGACATCCACCATGTCCTATACATCAGATAGTAACGACTGGAGATTATGCATATCCTAATATAGATGATAACTGGACATTCTACATATCCTACTCTAGGTGATTATTGGATATCCACCATGCTCTCTACACATCAATAAATAACTGTAAATCCTACACATTAGGTGACGACTTATGGTGATGATCAGAAATTTCCAACTACGTGATGCTGGACATTCTGCATGATCCACAGACAAGGTAATGATTATATCCTGCATGTTTTACTCCATTTGATGAGTGGACATCCTGCATGGTTACTCTACATAATTACTGGACTTCCTGCTTGTCCTATACACGAGGAGTGACTAGTTATAAATGTCTATTCTCTACGTCCGACTCATTAGTTATTGACTGGATATCCTATATGTCTTACTCTAAGTGATAATTAAACATTCCACTTGTCCATATGATCTGAAAAGGAGGATGACGCTACCTTCACGGCCCAGAGCGAGAATTCCCACTTATACGGTGCTATCACTCTTGTACACTTACCGTCTTGTAGCCAGCAGCGGCGAGGACTGAGAAGAGCGGGTAGCAGGTGGTGTTCCATACCTCTCCGAGTGCAACGTCCTAAGGAGTATAGTACATAACAGTTTACTTTATCTTTTAATTTTTATCCTCTTCACCATTGATCGGCTCGTTACCCGCTTGGGCAATCGGCCACGTCTCTGTCACGCACTGTTGGCAAGTACTGGGAATGCACCGGCTCCTGAATGTACCTGAACCTGCTCCAGTGTTGGTCAAGTCTGGTCTTGAAAGAGCTCTCACTCGATGCCGTCACAACACTTTCTGGCAGATTGTTTTAAGAGTTCACAACTCTCACCCCGAAAAAGTTTGCCCTCACAGTTTTCTGGACCTGCTGCTTCTTCAATCTTGAGCTGTGACCCCTTGTGGGGCGAGCGTCCGACAGCTCCAAGTAAGGACACTCGACTGAGTAGTGCCCCTTGAGATCTTATACACCTCAATTAGGTCGCCCTTTGCCCGTCTGTAGTATAAGCTAGGCAAGTTCAGGCTCTCCAATCTCTCAGGGTAGTTGAAGTGCCGAAGTGCAGGCACCAGTCTGGTGGCCCTCCTTTGAACATTTTCAACCAACTGACAGTCCCTAGCATATCTCGGGGACCAGACGGGGTGACAGTACTCCATATGGAGTTACGAGGGACGAACTGTCTAGATATCTGAACGACGTTCTTATAAGACCCAATAATTTATTTGCCTGATTTATCTTCTCGCAATGGCCCGAGAACTTCAGCTCATTGTCAACTTACACACCTAAGTCCTTCTCACATTCAGTCTCAAATAGTGGTTTCTTCATCCCGTTGGGACAGATGATACGCCTCCATACCGTTGGTACGCCCCAGGTGCATCCACTTACACCTCGTGATATTCGTATGATAAGAAATTAAGTTATCAAGAGCGTTATCTACTGTAGATTATGATAGTATAGCAGAGTATCACTCACAGAAAGGATGGATAGCTCAGTGCAAAGTAATCTAAGACTTATTTACATGTATATTATCTCTAATTCCCTCCCTCTATTTCTGTTTCATTTCTTTCTATGTATCTTTATCTCTATATTTCATGTAGGTAGCAGGGAGGTACTACTGCCTGGGAAGATATTGGAAGCATAATGTGTTGCCTAATGGTAGACCCTGCTGCCATATGGCATCACGAAAATTGTGACCAAGTCCCAGGTTGCTGATCTGACTTTCTGCCTCATTTACACACAATTGCAGGGTCTCAATTGTTTCTCTTACTATTAACAACACAACATATATATCGTTTCTCACTATTGATCTCCCTTTCATTCTTGTATTTATTTATGGATATATATTATTATTATTATAATTATTATTATTATAATTATTATTATAATTATTAATAATATTTTCATTGATATTATTTTATTATTATAATTTTTATTTATTTTATTAATTATTATTATTATTATTATTATTTCACCCCCGCCAGGTCCTGATGTGGGTCAATGATCTGTGCCCGGGTGGGCTAATCCCGTAAAAAAAAACGCAGTGTGACATACATCACTGAATCAGTGATATGGTTAGGGAGACTTACAGTGGGGGTAGCGTACTTGAGACGTTTGGAGTGCCCCGTCTGGATGCGAAACAACTCCTCCGTTACGTGGCTGGGATTGCGGGTGCGGACCATTTGTTCCTGGGGACGACACACACACACACACACAGTTATCTAGGTTGCCCTTACATTTACAACACTAGTATTGTAGTGTATGCATTGAATTCATTCACTACAGGTCCACCATACTCAGTGACATGATACAAGTGATATGTGAGCAAACTTAGCTTTAGTGAATTGAATTTCAATTCTTAATACTTTACTGCATAAATTTCATAAAGAGATCATATGTACGTTATAAAGATGTGTAAATCAAACTGTATTGAATTGTTAAAATTAGTCATATTCTCAATATCATCATTCAGACACATATCCTATCTGTCGGTATACAGGTATACACAAATTGTTAATGTAACTAGTTAAGTATTTGAAGTTGTTACCATACTGTTAGCATTGAGCGAGTTACCTGGACGATATGAGTATCGGCGGTGACGCAAACAGGGAGGATGCGGGAGGTTCTGGGTGAGGCTCGGAGCTGGAGGTAATTGAGAGGGTCAGCTTCCACCAGTAACCCCTGCCAGCCTCGAACGGCCTCCAGCCACCAGCTGTTACTTAACCATAGTCCATCCTGCGCCCCCACCTCCACAAATACTCCACCAGCCTAACACAGAAAATATTGATATTTAGCAATGTTCTTGTTTCTAATACAAAATACCACTTTTGTAGTGTACAGTCAACTTGCTACTTTGTACAAACGTATATTGTAATCCTATAGCTAGCATAAGGCGCCATCATTTACCAACACAATTGTATGAGCAATAATCTTAACATATTTTTCATCAGTTTTCACAACCGAAAAATTGAACATAATACCCGAAGCACCGACTATCTACAGAGATAGTGTATTTGCAAAACACAAGGCTAACAAAAGTACTTGGGTTTGCAAACAAATAGATAAACTAAAGTGTATTAAGTCACCAGGTCCAGACGAGATACTTGTCAGAATATTATATAAGGAAGAACTTAGTATGCCCTTCGCAAACTTATTTAACATATCATGAAAAACGGGTGTAGTACCAGAATCCTGGAAAACAGAGAATGCGATACCGGTTTTCAAGAAGGGAGATAGATCAATATACTCTAACTACCGTCCAATTAGTTTAACATTAATTGTAGGCAAATTGCTAGAAGCAACAACTTCAGTCAATTCGAAATCACCTCCAGAAACACAAATTGATCAGTGATTCCCAGCATGGATTCACAAGTAGGTATTCATGTCTGACATATCTATTATCATTCTTTCCAGCTGTCCAAAACAGTGGATGACGGACACGATTACGATGTGGTTTATCTAGACTTTAGCACACCTTTCGAAAGGGCCCCCCCATGAAAGACTACAGTACTATGTAAAGTGTACGCACATAGAAATGGGAATGTTCTAAACTGGATTAGGGCGTGGTTACAGGGCAGGAAACAGCGAGTAAACATTAATGGTACTAAATCCATTTGGGGTGACGTCACTAGTGGAGAACCCCAAGGCTTAGTACTTGGACCATTACTATTTATTATATACATAAACGACATAGATATAGGAGTAGACAGCAACAGAAGTAAATTTGCTGATGACACTAAAATAGGGCGTGTCATTAAATCTGACGAAGACTCATCAATGCTATAGGAAGAACCCCCCCAAAAATTTCGCATGGTCTGAAAAATGGCAGATGAAATTTAATGTGGACAAATGTAAAATACTTAGTCTAGGAGATGTAAACAGATAAACCAGATACCAGATGAACAACGTTGTTATAGAGAAATCCAACTGTGAAAAAGACTTAGGAGTAATGTTAAGTAGGCATCTTAAACCAAGACAACAATGTGTATTTGCTCTAAACAAGGCTAACAAAGAACTTGGATTCATACAAAGGAGTGTTACTTACAAGACTAGCGCAGTTATCCTAAAACTATATCTTGCACTTGTGAGACCTTACTTGGATTATGCAGTTCAATTTTGGTCACCTTACCAAAGAATGGATATATAATCCCAAGAAAGCATACAGAAAAGGATGACAAGACTAATCTTGGGCACTAGAAACCTTGAGTATAGGGACAGATTAAAGCATCTGAGTTTGCACTCCCCCAAGAGACATGAGTGAGGGGCGATATGAATGAGGTGTATAAATTGAAGTCAAGGTTAAGCAAAGGTGATATAACAAAGGTACTTAAATTATACAACCAGGAACTAACTCGTAACAATGGTTTTAAATTAGACAAATTTAGATTTAAGCGCGAGATAGGTAAACACTGGTTTGGAAATAGAGTAATGGATGAATGGTACAAATTATCAAACATCAATTACCTTGAACACGCTGGATAGCTTCAAATATAGGTTGGTTGGATATATAAGCGATAGGGGTAATTGGGTGTTGTAAGAGTGTACCATCGTACGATATGTTTTCCCATGTTGAGTGGGGGAGGCTGGTCCTTGGCAGCGCCTGGTGGCCAGTGCCCAGCTGATGCTGTTATAATAAAGTCTATAGAAAACATGGTCTATGACTCCAACCTCTCACATATCCTACTCACTGCGCCATGTGAGAGGTTGGAGTCATAGACCATGTTTTCTATAGACTTTATTATAACAGCGTCAGCTGGGCACTGGCCACCAGGCGCTGCCAAGGACCAGCCTCCCCCACTCAACATGGGAAAACATATCGTACGATGGTACACTCTTACAGGTGTAAAGGGGACTGCCTACTATGGGCCAATAGGCCCGCTGCGGTTTCCTCCATTCTTATGTTCTTTTGTATCCAGTGGGAAGTACGTACCTGCTCATTTCAGCTGCTAACAAAATTCTACAAGTGGAAATTGTAGTAAAGATTTTTTGGCAATTACTTTTAGAGAATTACACCAAAATACATTGTAGCTCTCAGCCGAGTGATGCATTAATATGTATAGACTGCGACATTATTTATGAATAAAATTTTTAAATTATGTTAATGTGAAATGATTGTTGACAACACAATAGCGGTTCATGGTACTGGACATGTATTCGGTATACAGTAGTTAGCATGAGAGTTAAGAATAAAGTACATACCAGTTGTACCCTTGCTCCATGCATAAAAGTTTACTTGATACTCGTCTGTGTGTGTGTGTGTGTGTGTGTGTGTGTGTGTGTGTGTGTGTGTGTGTGTGCGCGCGCGCGCGTGTGTGTGTGTGTGTGTGTGTGTGTGTGTATGATGAACAGCCAGGACAGACACAAATGTGCGAGGTAAGACTGAATGACAAGACATAAAAGTAGTACAGTAATATAAAATAAGATTTACCTTTCCTTGAAAAATAGTTCTAAGGAGTCCTTCAGTTTGATTGTATGAAAAGAGGTGTTCCCAGGGCGGGTGGTGAGGGTCTAGGCCATTTAGGTGTTGGGGGGACAATTTAGGCGGCGTCTCCATCTTGGCCTGCAGGTGGTGCAACAGACGCTTGTCCCACCATGCCAGTGGGTGATGCAGTCGCTGATGTATACAGTGTCTTGCTACCCACACAATGGAAACATCATTAATTCAAGAAAACATCGACGAACGGTTAAGGGAATATATTTGTTGATGGAAATTAAACAATAAGTTCTCCGTCTTACAGAAGTATAGTCTACTGTTTCTGTTGACGGGGACTTCCCCAACTTCCCAGTAATATCGACCTATCAAGCTTCACTGAAACTAGTACTGTACTTCACTCCCTTCAAATTTAATTATCCGTTTGATAATCGCCTCGTTTTAGCCTCAACCATCTGCTCGACCTCCATGCGGACTTCTGAACCTGAGTGCTGCAGTGATATGGTAACAGTTCAGCAGTGCCACACACACTGCTGAACTGTCACCGTATCACTAAGATTTGAAATATTAATAATAAAAACAGAATCTTACTAGCCAAGAGGACTTGACAGTATTGTAGTATTTTCTAGTGCATACTGTGGTATTGTCTGGTGATAGTTAGTGGGTCCTGCAATGAGAAACTAATTTTGCAATTGCACTGTGAACCAAACGTAGTAGTTTATCCAGGAGAAATGTTACATCGAACTGTGCCATATGGTGATGTAATATGCCTTTTGGAGACAGAATTTATATTTAGCCAATGATAGCCTCGAGTTATAATATTAGCACATGGGAAATGAATGAGGCGAAGTTACAGAGTCTGGGACATGCCCAGAAAAGCCCTTTCAAGTTTTTTTATTTAATAAAGGTTGTCAGCCTGCTCAGACATAGATTTTGGTCCAAGAATAGACAGTTGAGAGTTTCACTGTGTTTAACACTGAAGTATGGTTACTAACCGTGAGAATGTAACATTGTGTTTATAAACCTTCATCCTTCTCCCCATCATTTCTCCCGTATCTCTGCTCCCCTACCGTAAACTCCCCTCTACCCAGCCTTCAACCCCAACTTGTCCATCCTCACAGATGCAGTTAGATGTGCTTAACCCTTGCTCCCTGCTCTTACGCCTCCAACACTCTCCCTCACTGTCTCTTCTCCCTCACCAATTTCTCACTTCTCCCTCAAACTCCATCACTGAATATTAAGTTAAAAACTCTCTTAATTGAGAGCTTAGAAAATACATAGTGACCCAGAAAAATACTTAACATTGAGGTGATGTAAGAAAATTTAAGTTGGAAGAATAATATACTTAAAAAAAAGAAGAAACAATTAAGACTAAGAATCAAGATGATTACACACACACACACACACACACACACACACACACACACATATATATATATATATATATATATATATATATATATATATATATATATATATATATATATATATATATATATATATATATATATATATGTATATATATATATATATATATATATATATATATATATATATATATATATATATATATATATATATATATATATATATATATATATATATATATATATATATATATATATATATATATATATATATATATATATAGCTTTGTCTTTATTCACATCTTCAGTTGCCTCTGAAGATGTCTTGAATAAAGACAAAGAAAAGATTTATCAATTTTCATTGTGATCCACATTATATATATATATATATATATATATATATATATATATATATATATATATATATATATATATATATATATATATATATATATATATATATATATATATATATATATAGTGCTAATTACTGTAGTATTGTCTCGTGCTAGTTACTGTAGTATTGTCTAGTGCTAGTTACTGTAGTATTGTCTAGTGCTAGTTACTATTGTATTACCTAGTGTGGATTAACCTTGGGAGGGATAAGGCTACGGGAGTAAACCCCAAATGAAAAAAAATTGCGATGGAGCCCCGCATCAGGCAGACATGCTTACAGTGCTCCAACAAGACCCCAACGGCGGAATAAGCAGAAGAGATGTCCAACATGGGTACCCAATGGCTAGACCAACGGATGAAGGTAATGCATGATGGACAAGCTACGAAGGCGAAACCCAACAAACTGGGCTATCAGCAGTCCATTGCAACTCTCCCTCTCCCCAGTCGTTGCAGCTTGATGCACCACTGGATCAGGAAAAGAGAGTGCAAGATGTGTGGTTGCAGCCTGCACTCCTGCCTCGCTGCATAAATCAACTCACGCACAGTCATTATCCAGTTCATGATACTTTTCATCGTCATCAAACCCCTATAGCTGCAAAAGTCCTTTGGCGACAGACGAGTGGTGACGGGGACAGGCAGAGATGACTGCCTGGAGTCTCTAGTCACAACTGGGATCTAGACAGCAATGCAATTTGGTCCTGTCTGTGCGACTGAGCAGCCCTTTCGAGAAGCCACTCTGCTTACCCCACATGGGGAGGGGGCTAGATAGGGTGCCCCAAACATAGCCTTCCTAAAAAAACCAACCTGACTGGGCAACCGCACCCAGTAAGGTCATCTCTATACAGTCGAAAATACAATAAAAATCACATATCAAAGTAAAAACAAACTATACAACCTCTTATGGTCGCTGCATGGAATGTCAGAACCCTTCTGGATACTGGCACAAATGAGCATCCTGAAAGAAGAACTGCCCTTGTGGCAAAAGAGCTGGCTAGGTATAACATCGACAGAGCGGACATTAGTGAGTCCCGGCTCACAAGGGTCGACTCACAGAACAGGGATCTGGCTATACCTTCATCTGGAAGGGTAAGCCAGCATTTATGGAATTTGCTTTGCCATTCGCCAATTCATCCTAGATAGGCTAACTGAAATATCTGTTGGGATCAATCAGCGCCTTATGACGCTCCGAGTTCCACAGAATCACTCACGTCATGGCTTCTTCATCAGTGCTTATACCCCAACACTGGATGCAGAGGATGACATCAAGGAGGCCTCTTACGCCATCTTTGACAGAGTGCTAACCTCTATCCCCAGAGAAGATAAGGTGACTTCAATGCCAGAGTTGGAAGAGATACTGACATATGGCAGGGAATCATTGGGAGAAACGGAGTAGGTAAGTGTGCTGCACACAACCTCACTATCACCAATAACTTGTATAGGCAGGCAGACAAATTCAAGGGTTCGTGGCAACACACAGAATCCAAACAACTGGCAACTCATTGACTACATCATTGTCAGAGAAAGAGATTGCCGAGATGTTCTCATCACTCGAGCCATGCATGGCTCAGACCACTATGACACTGATCATCGTCTCGTCAGAGCCAAACTCTCACTTCAAGTTGCTTCAAAACTGCGAAGGCAACAAGCCTCCAGAAGAGGTTTAAACACTAAGCGTCTGGAGGATCTAGCAGCAGCACATGCTTTTATAGAACAGATCGAACATGGGCTGATAAACAACCCGACAACAAACAACCCAAATCCCAGTGGCTAATGGGCACTGTCATGACAAAAACCTGCAGACAGACCCTCGGCCAGATCGAAAGTATACACCAGGACTGGTTTGACGAAAATGACGTGGAAATCAACGCACTCGTCGATGATAAATGTACTGCTTCAACTGACTGGCAGAATAACCCTCAGCCTCTGATCAAAGCTGATATCTTTCACAAGAAGAAAGCGGCGGCCCAGCGTGAACTTTGCAATCTAAGGAACGAATGGTTGAAAAATAAAGTGTGAAATGCAAAAACGTGCAGATCATCACAAGATGCAAAATTTTTTCAATTCTACTTAAAAAAAATATTGGCCAATCACTCATGGTGGAACTCCCGTCCACTCATCCGATGGTAACTCCCTAATTAAAGACGAAGAAGGCATCCGTCAGCACTTGGAAAGAGAACTACCATTTACTGCTCAACCGAAACACTGATGTGGATGTCCTGACTACCCAGCAGGTCCCTCAGCACCCAGAGCTGACCTACCTAAGCTATCCTCCATCTCTGGTTGAGGTAGCTACTGCCATCAATCAGATGAAAAATAACAAAGCCAGAGAGCCTGATGGAATCCCAGCCGAGGTGTGTAAAGCAAGAGGACCTTTGCTTACCAGCAGTCTCCACTATCTCCTGGAAAATATAAGGGAAAATGAAGAAATTCCTCAAGCTCTTAAAGACGCCTCCACCGTCGATATTTAAAAGAACAAGGGAGACCGATCATACTATAGCAACTATCACAGGATCTCGCTGCTGTCTGTAGCTGGTAAGATTACCACCCGAGACCTCCTAAACAGACTTCTTCCTGAGGCAGAAAACTTCCTCCCAGAATCTCAATGTGGCCTTAAACCAACACGTGGCACCACTGACATAATTTTTGCTGCCCACCAGATACAGAAAAAGTGCGGAGAAGTGCCGTGACCTGTACACTGCTTTCATCGACAATTACGTTGGACTGGCCATGTTACCCGCATGGACGACAGTAGACTGCCAAAGCAACTACTTTGCAGTCACCTAATGAATAGTAAACGTAACACTGGTGGGCAACTGAATAGGTATAAGGAAAGTCTCAAGACAAACCTAAAAAGTGTCAACTCGACCCCCTCACCTGGGAGACGACCATTCCACACCGTAGCGCTTAGAGGAGCACCACTCGAGGTGTCAATACTTTCGAGTTAGCCCGATTGCTTATCAAAGCAGACAAGCGCCAGCGCCGGAAAGATGCTGTCGCAGCCCCTCTCGCACTCGATGTTGCCCTCCACAAGTGCAACATCTGTGGACGCCCCTGCCAATCCCGTATCAGCCTCTCGAGTCATCTCAGAGCTAACCAACGAGGGTGACATCCTTAATAACCTATATTTTATCATAGATGGATGATCGTCATACTCGATTCCGAGTGACAGCAAAGTAGTAGTAGTTACTGTAGTGTTGTCTAGTGCTAGTTACTACTGTACAGCATTGCCTAGTGTTAGTCACTGTAGTATTATCTAGTTCTACTTACTGTAGTACTGTCTAGTGCTAATTACTTTAGAATTGCCTAGTATTAGTTACTGTAGTATTGTCTAGTTCTATTTACTGTAGTATTGTCTAGTGCTACTTACTGTAGTATTGTCTAGTGCAAGTTGAGCTATTGCCGGATATGCTTGTCGGTTTGAAAAAAATAAAATAAAATGTAACTCACGGCAAGGTGGGTGAGGCGAGGAAGGGTCGGCCGGGGAACTACTAGCAGGAGAAGAGAGGAGAGTGGATGTATTGCCTGATGTAGTCACCCACACTTGTATTACCGTCAGCATCGTCGCCCACACGCACAACGCTGCCCTCGACAGTTTCTTATAATAATAATAATAATAATAATAATAATAATAATAATAATAATAATAATAATAATAATAATAATAATAATAATAATAATAATAATAATAATAATTATAACTAATATTATTATCATTCAGTAAAGTTGCTATACAGGTTTACAATTGGATAAGCACGTTTATAACTACAGTTCAGTATGAATACTGTATAGACAATGTAGGTACATTATGCAGTGCAAGTAGGACAAGGCGGATACCTCTCCGCAAAGTGGATAGCCCACCTGCTGTCAACCTCCGCCTAAATTTCCCACTTGTGAACTTTACCTTGTACTGTACCCTTTTTGCACCCTCAGAGCCAAGGCTCTCTTCTCTCCGTATCACCAACCAACCGAGTAGGCCGTGGGAATACAGTAGACAGTTTCCCGTGTGCCGAGGCAAAACAGGTAAAGAACAATGGTAAACAGTAATGCAACTTGACCAAGAACAATGGTAAACAGTAATGCAACTTGACCAAGAACAATGGTAAACAGTAATGCAACTTGACCAAGAACAATGATAAACAGTAATGCAACTTGACCAAGAACAATGATAAACAGTAATGCAACTTGACCAAGGATAGCCGTCCGTCAAAGCTGTCAGAGCGTATTTCCCGGAGGGTCCTTTGTTTTTACTTTTTTATTTTTATCCTCTTCACCACTGATCGGCTCGTTAGCCGCTTGGGAGATCGGTCACGTCTCTGTTACGCACTGTTGGCAAGTACTGGCTCCTGAATGTACCTGAACCTGCTCCAGTGTTGGTCAAGTTTGGTCTTGAAAGAGCTCACACTCGGTGCCGTCACAACACTTTCTGGTAGAATGTTCCAAGAGTTCACAACTCTCACTCCGAAAAAGTTTGCCCTCACGGTTTTCTGTGACCCCTTGTGGGGCGAGCGTCCTCCAGTTCCAAGTAAGGACACTCGACTGAGTAGTGTCCCTTGACATGCTTATACACCTCAATTACGTCGCTCCTTGCCCGTCTGTAGTATAATCTAGGCAGGTTCAGGCGCTCCAACCTCTCAGGGTAGTTGAGGTGGCTAAGTGCAGGCACCAGTCTGGTGGCCCTCCTTTGAACATTTTCAACCAACTGATAGTCCATAGCATATCTCTGGGACCAGACGGGGTGACAGTACTCCAGATGGGGAAGCACTTCACTCTTGAAGATCGTTACGAGGGACGGACCTAGATATCTGAACGACCTTCTTGTAAGACCCAATAATTTATTTGCCCAATTTACCTTCTCGCAATGGCCCCAGAACTTCAGCTCATTGTCAACATACACACCTAGGTCCTTCTCACATTCAGTCTCAAATAGTGCAGTTTCTTCATCCCGTTGGGACAAATGATACGCCTCCTTACCATTGGCACGTCCCAAGTGCATCCTCTTGCGCTTCGTGACATAGAATCTCAGCAGCCATTTCTTCGACCATTCTTGGAGCTCACAGAGACCCTTCCGCAGCTCTTCACAGTCCGCATGGTTCTTGATTTCCCGAAATAACTTGGCGTCATTAGCAAACATTTGTATGGAGGAGTGTACAACGTCAGGCATGTCATTTATGAAACAAACAAACAACAGCGGGCTCAATACACTGCCCTGTGATACCTCGCTTGTGACAGATACTGATGATGATTTCGTGCCATTAATCACCACACACTGCTTGCGGTCATGTAAAAAGTCTTCTATCCATGCAAGGACATTTCCCCGAATTCCGTACCCTTCCAGTTTGATTTTCAGCCTTTCGTAGGGTACACTGTCGAAAGCCTTGGCAAAATCTAGGTATATATAGTCGATATTACCACCCCTTTCCAGAATGTGTCCAAATATCCAATACCTTAAGCAATTGTGTTAAGCAGGAGCGCCCCGGCATGAAACCGTGTTGACACTTTTTTTTTTTTTTTTTTTTTATCTTCACTGATCCGCTCGCTAGCCGCCTCGGCTATCGGTCTCGTCTCTGTCACGCACTGTTGGCAAGTGCTAGGCATGCACCGGCTCCTGAATGTACCTGAACCCACTCCAGTGTTGGTCAAATCTTGTCTTGAAAGAGCTCACACTCGGTGCCGTCACAACACTTTCTGGTAGATTGTTCCAAGAGTTTACAACCATCACTCCGAAAAGGTTTGCCCTCTGTTTTCTGGAATTTCGGCTTCTTCAATCTTGAGCTGTGACCCCTTGTGGGGCGAGCGTCCGCCAGCTTTAAGTAAGGACACTCGACTGAGTAGTGCCCCTTGAGATGCTTATACACCTCAATTAGGTCATCCCTTGCCCGTCTGTAGTACCAGCTAGACCAGGAGTCACCAAACTTTTTTCAGTGGGCCGGATAACTGAAAGAATGACGAGCGCGGGCCGCATAATCATTCTGTTCAATACTTGCAAGCCAGAACGAAAGCTCTGGGAAAAAAGACGAAAAACTAAGTTTAGCATTCCATGTTAATCATGGGTGAGTGGCGTGCAATGCACAAAAAACAAAGACAACCAACATATTTATTTACTAAAAAGTTACCAAAGAAGGCGACGTTAGCAAAAAGATAGTTACATCAGACCTAGTGTGCACATATCCGAATCTCACAAACTAAGCAAATTCAAGTACCGTCGGCTGGCCGTAGTTTGGTGACCACTGAGTTAGACCAAAGGTAATATTTTTATAATAAAAAACTATTCATTGTTATTTAAGGTCATGAGAAGTTTCCAAATGTTCGTATTTTTGTTTAAATAATTAAGAAAATTTGGTGAGAGAATCTTGTGGCAGCTGTGGTTGTAGTCCAGTTGCCAATTCATTAATATATTTTTCTTCATTATTTAAGCAAATATACGAAAATTTGGAAACCTCTCATGACCTCAAATAACAATGAATAAATAGTTTATTATTATAAAAATGTTACCTTTGGTTTGTTTAACATTTATCCTGAGTGATACAGCCGAAAACAGATCCACCATTCACAATCACCGTTACATACAGGTTTCCTTTACTAAGTATTGCAAGGTAAAATTGCCAGTACGAGACCCAGTGTGGGGTCGGTGCATCTTTGGTTGACTGTACATTGTATACCTGCATTGTCTGTATCCATTGTATGCACTATATAGTCTAAATTGTATACTTACATTTTCTGTGTACTTTTTATTCCTGCATAGGCTATGTATATTTTATATTTGCCTGTCTGCCCAGCAGTAATTGGGGGATGTTAATCGATTTGCGGATCGTTTTCCCGGGTAATGGTTAGCCAGTGCAAATGGCGAGTTGTCCGGTCTTCTCGAACTGTTCCTTTACACTGGGTCATGCAACTCGTTAACTCAGGGTGTGGTTGATGTGTAGGTGACAGCTTCTACACCTTAAACAAATTGATGCTTAGGTGGCCCTTGGGCCGGTTATCCTCGTTATGCGAGGGCAACCATTATTTATATTATTGTATAATTATGTGCACTATCTTTATAGATTGTATACTTGCACTATGTACATTTTTTGTATACCTGCACTGTCTGTGTACATGCTGAATCATTTTGAGCGTGCATGACGATTTTACTGGATAACTATCATTTTAATCGCTTTTCATCCACCCATTCATACATACAATCATCATGTACCTACTTTGCGAAGGGATTCCGAAAATATTCGTAAGCCAGTCATATTACAATAATATTCATGATAATAGTCGTGTTCGTATTACTTTTACTTAAAAAAGATAAACACTCACACTTCTTACTAAAAGATAAACATAGAGGAACTAGTTCAGGGGTTTCAAGTTGACACGAAGGCTGTTTTTGTATAGGAGATACTATTAGTAGTCAAACCATCGTGTAGGATTTTGGGCCATTCGTTATTAATGCCTCCTGCTGTACAACACACACACGGGCTACAAATACAGCATGTTGCCAACTTTAAACCCCTGAACGGATTTGTTAGTTTAACTGGCAACTCACCAAGTGTCTGTTCATGTCCAGAACGTTTGTGGAGGACGATACCTTGTAATTGCTGTAAATTTCCTTCAGGATTATATCACAAAAGCGTCTTTAGGAACACTAGCTATAACCTGGCTCGGTTTCTTAGTAGTTTTCTTCACGTATATGAGAAGTTTGTAAGGCTTTTCCTTAAGTTAAAAATCGCGAGTATATTTTTTTCCTGCACATTTACAATAAGAGACTTTAAACCGTTACAACGTTATTGAATATACTATACTTAGTGGCAGTGATTTTTTTTTTGCAGCTTTCTTTTTTTATAGCAGCGTATTCCTAAACACTGGTTGTGTGTAGTGTCTGGCAGCTGTGAAGGTCTTCCCACGACTACCAGCGCGTCTCCCCAGCTCACCTTCCTCAGAATTTTGGCCGAATTTTCCTTATGACGCTGTGGCAACATCTTCGTACTGTATCCCTTCTTTATGCAAATGTATTTAACGCTTTCATCATTTATGAATATACTTCGTATCGAAGTTAATATTACCTTATTAGTCATGCTGGCACAATGTTGTTTATTTACACCAGGGAATGATACTGTAGTAACTAAGGTTTAGTTTTCCTTAAATGGACTAGTCTACGATGGGGTGATACTTTTATTTTTTATCCTGTTCGCCACTGATCGGCTCGTTAGCCACTTGGGCGGTCGTTCACGTCTCTTACGCACTGTTGGCAAGTACTGGGCATGTACTATCGTGGACAAAAGTTCGCTCCCTGTAGTGAAACTGAGACACGGGAATGAGTCTCCGAACTGACTTAACCTGGTGCGGGTGTGCTGTGCGGGTCGATACTATTTCAGCTTGGGAAGGAGCGAACTTTTGTCCACGATAGTACTACTGGTTCTCCTGAATGTATCTGAACCTGCTCCAGTGTTGGTCAAATCTGGTCTTGAAACAGCTCACACTCGGTGCTGTCACAACACACTGGCAAGTTGCTCGCGCTTAAATAATACTCATGCAAAAACCTTATATAATTGAATGGGAAGTTATTATAAATAAATATATAATATAGACGTCGACACGAGATCACCACTTTGTTTTTCATCAGGTGTAAATAAAGCACTAGTGATAGCCTGTGATTTATCACGTGCAGGCGGTCAGAAACGCCGACACACACCTAATTGAAGTGTATAGACATCTCAGAAGGCACTACTCAATCAGCTGATGGACACTCGCCCCACAAGGAGTCATAGCTCAAGGTTGAAGAAGTCTAAGTCCAGAAACAGAAGGCAAGCTTTTTCGGAGTGAGAATTGTAAACTGTTGGAACAACCTGCCAGAGAGCGTTGTGATGGCACCGAGTGTGAGCCCTTGCAAGACCAGACTTGATCAACAGTGGCGCAGGTACAGAGGTACTCATACATTCAGGAGCCAGTACATCCCCAGTACTTGCCAATAGTGCGTAACCAACCGCCCAACGAACTGTCAGTGACGCAGAGGATAAAAGTGACAAGTAACGAGATAAGGAAAATCCTTGACGCTACGTATGCTGGCAATGAGGAAAACTGGGATTTAAATTCCAGTGATGGCAGCTGCGGGGGTGAGTAGAAATGTCTTGTGTCGGATTTCCTCTCGCAATGTCTATATTTACGTAACTACATTCTAGTTGAGGGTTTTAGGCTGTATATTCTGATCTTAATGTGTACGACGAACTATGCGAGTTGTGTTGTGGCTGTACAGCGTATATTCTCTGTTATAAGATTGCACGTGAGCGTAAACTCACTTATTTTGTGGCGCAACATTGCTGACGTCTTTCCATTGTTGTTGTTGTTGTTGTTATTATTATTATTATTATTTAGAGCGCCAAAGTGATTCAGATCGATTCTAACTAATTTAATTAACTATATAATGTGGGAAGGTGAAAGTACTGAAATTGGTTATTGTGCAGATTACAGCAACCATAGAATTTCATAAATTTACTTCATTCAATCGAAAGAACTATTTTTTCCATTATAAATTTCTTTTATACACTTCCGTCGCAAATTTATAATAATGAAGTTATTGAATAAAAAAAAATATAAAATAAAATCAGAGCACCTGGCCCTGACTCAGGGTAAGGTAAGAAATACTGTAACGGCTATTTATATTATTGTGGAGGCTGACCACGCAACTCTGGGGTTTTTACCTACCAAATGGCCCTAGCCGCGGACGACCGAGGGCCCGGTTAAGTAAGGTTTAGTTTGGTTGTATTGTATAATCCACAAATCACTTTTTTTTTGCTCTCCCTCCCCCCCCCCCTCAAAAAAACCCCCGAATTTCCACGCTCTTCCCCATTATAGTTATAGGGAGGAGGAGGAGGAGGGGTGGGGGGCTAAATCACAAACGAGTGATTTCCGACAAAGGTCAGATTTGAACTAATCACACCAAAATCCACCAGAAAACAAATTTTTGTTGTAATATGCATATTTACCCTGAAGTTAAGCACAGTTTTTACAGCTTATGCGATGACTGAAACGGCTGACCATATTAAGTTTGTGTGAAGAAACAGCTGACCATACTGAGTTTGTGTGAAGAAACAGCTGACCATACTAAGTTTGTGTGAAGAAACAGCTGACCATACTAAGTTTGTGTGAAGAAACAGCTCACCATACCAAGTTTGTGTGAAGAAACAGCTGACCACACTGAGTTTGTGTGAAGAAACAGCTGACCATAATAAGTTTGTGTGAAGAAACAGCTGACCATACTGAGTTTGTGTGAAGAAACAGCTGACCATACTGAGTTTGTGTGAAGAAACAGCTGACCATACTAAGTTTGTGTGAAGAAACAGCTGACCATACCAAGTTTGTGTGAAGAAACAGCTGACCATACCAAGTTTGTGTGAAGAAACAGCTGACCACACTGAGTTTGTGTGAAGAAACAGCTGACCATAATAAGTTCGTGTGAAGAAACAGCTGACCATACTAAGTTTGTGTGAAGAAACAGCTGACCATACCAAGTTTGTGTGAAGAAACAGCTGACCACACTGAGTTTGTGTGAAGAAACAGCTGACCATAATAAGTTCGTGTGAAGAAACAGCTGACCATAATAAGTTTGTGTGAAGAAACAGCTGACCATACCAAGTTTGTGTGAAGAAACAGCTGACCACACTGAGTTCGTGTGAAGAAACAGCTGACCATACTAAGTTTGTGTGAAGAAACAGCTGACCATACCAAGTTTGTGTGAAGAAACAGCTGACCACACTGAATTTGTGTGAAGAAACAGCTGACCATAATAAGATCGTGTGAAGAAACAGCTGACCATAATAAGTTTGTGTGAAGAAACAGCTGACCATACTGAGTTTGTGTGAAGAAACAGCTGACCATACTAAGTTTGTGTGAAGAAACAACTGACCATACTAAGTTTGTGTGAAGAAACAACTGACCATACTAAGTTTGTGTGAAGAAACAACTGACCATACTGACAGTTTGTCTGAAGATAAAAATAATAATTACCGAAATGTAACGAACCAAAACTGAAAGTGAGCAATGTGAAATTAAAGTGTGTTGTTACATTGTGGTGAAATTATTCTTTAATGTTAAATTCTGGGATGAAAATATACCGTTAAGTTTGAAGTGAAATTATATTGCAATAATATATTCAGTGCTTAGTATTCCAAACATATTCAGTCATCCACACTCGACTTTGATGTTGTTATATTTCAGTGATAATTATAATTTGAGTCTTAAAATATATATATTAGGCAAGTGATTTCGTGTATAATAACCAAAGCTGGAAAAAACTTCACGAACAGGACCACGAAACCATATTCATTTTAAAAGTTTGGTAGTAGGTCGTAGGCAGTAAGGCAGCTATCAAACAGGGAGGTACTACCGCCTGGGAAGATATTGGAAGCATAATGTGTTGTCTAATGGTAGACCCTGCTGCCATATGGCATCACGAAAATTATGACCAAGTCCCAGGTTGCTGATCTGATTTTGTGCCTCATTTACACACAATTGCAGGGTCTCAATTGTTTCTCTTACTTTGACAACACAACATATATCTCACAATTGATTTTTTTTAATTTAGCATTTGTTTATGGTTCTATATTATTATTATATTTAATCTTTTTAATTTGTATTTTATTATTATTATCATTATATATCTTCGCCACCCAGGCCCTGATGTGGATCATTGACCTGCGCCAGGGTGAGCTTAAAAAAAAAAAAAAAAAAATCCTAAGCTCACCCTTAACGCAACTACCCAAAATCGTTAAATGAAGTTAAGGTTAGACAATCTTCTCTATCAGAAATAAAAAACGTGACTTTGTGGTCTTCGTGAAGTTTTTTAACACTGGAACACGAATTTAACTAAGAAGCATTTATCTTTGTAACCGAAGTTAGTGAAAACATTACCGGTGTGTCTTGTTAGTGAGAAAAATAGGAAAATGAGGAAAGAACGGAGCCAAAGGAAAAAAGAATAACAGGGAGAAGATAGAGAAAGAAAAAAAATCTGAGGGTAGGGGAAGGTGGCAGGATGAAAATATGAGGGAATACGGAGGAGGATGGAGTGGCGGGGAGGACATAATTTACGAGTAACTGTAGTTCCGTTCATAAGTTCGTTATACACCCGCGGTAAAGAGCTCATAGTCTGTTGCAACCAAAGTCTAATTATTTAGACATTGGTTGCACCCTTCAGGTCACTAGCACGTTATGCTGAACCCCCCACCAACAGAGTCGAACTGACAACGGAACAGTTTTATTCGGACGAAGACTCATCAAAAAGAGATGGGGAGGAAATTACAGTAATGTGAATACTGGCCAACGTTAATGTTATGATAGAGATGTGTTAATATACTGTACAGCTTACAAGAAAGAAAAACTGATAGGATTATCTATCCAATATCAGAATACATGTACAATGGGGGAAACCGGTATCGAATGAACATTATAACATAAGAGCATAAGAATGGAGGAAACTGCAGCGGGCTTATTGGCCCATACTGGGCAGTCCCGGTTACACCCAACCCGTCGCTCCTATAACGGTCCAACCTATATTTGAAGCTATCCAGCGTGTTCGAGTTAATGATGATGTTTGGTAACTTGCTCCACTTATCCACTACTTTTTCCTAATCAATGTTTACCTAGCTAGCGCATAAATCTAAATTTGTCTAATTTAAAACCATTGCTACAAGTTCGCTCCTGGTTGGATAGTTTGAGTACCTTTGCTATATCACCTTTGTTTAGCCCTGACTTCCATTTATACACCTCGATCCTATCGCCTCTCACTCTACGTCTCTCGAGGGAGTGCAAATTAAGATGCTTTAACCTGTCTCTGTACTCAAGGTCCCTAATTCCCGGGATAAGTCTTGTCATTCTCCTCTGAATTCTTTCTAAGGACTCTATATCCATTCTGTAGCACGGTGAACAAAACTGAACCGCGTAATCCAAGTAAGGTCTCACAAGTGCAAGATATACAGTAGTTTTAGGATAACCTCGCTAAACACTCCTTTGTATAAACCCAAGTACTCTATTCGCCTTGTTTCGAGCAAATACACATTGTTTACTTGGCTTAAGATTCCTACTTATCATTACTTCTAAGTCTTCCTCACGGTCGGATTTCTCTATAACAACGTTGTTCATCTGATATCTACTCCAATCAGATTTAATGCCGTTAATGCTTACTCGCTGTTTCCTGCCATGTAGCCAGGCCCTAATTCATTTTAGAATATCTCCTCCAACTCCATGAGCCTCCACTTTTCCTATTAGTCTCTCGTAGGGACTCTGTCGAAGGCTTTGCTAAATCGAAGTATACCACATCATAATTGTGCCCATCATCCACCGATTCGAAAACAGTTAAAAAGAATGTTAATAGATTTGTCAGACATGAAAGCCCACTTGTGAAACCATGTTGGGAATCATTGATCAACTTGTGCTTGCCTACAATTGATGTTAAACAGATTGGACGGTAGTTAGAGGCTAGTGATTTATCTCCCTTCTTGAAAACTGATATCACATTCGCTACCCTCCAGGATTATGGTAATACACCCGTTTTTAATGGCATGTTGAACAGAGCTCATGTATCAAGAATCTTCAATGTATTTATTACTTGAAGTTTTCGTAGAGAGAGAGAGAGAGAGAGAGAGAGAGAGAGAGAGAGAGAGAGATTATTATACGGAAAACTTCAAGTAATGAATACATCGAAGATTCTTGATATACGAGCTCTGTTCAACTACTTCTTATAGTGTTCATTCGAAACCGGTTTCCCCATTGTACAGTATTCTGGTATTTGAAACATAATCCTATCACTACGGTTTTTTCTTATAAGCTGTATATTAACATCTTTATCATCCATAAGCATTAACGTTGGCCAGTATTCACATTAATATCCTTTCCATCTCTTTTTGGCGAGTCTTCGGTCGAATATAACTGGTCCGTTGTCAGTTCGACTTTGTTGGTGGGGGGTTCAGCGTAGTGACTTGACGTCTAGGAAGGGTGCAACAGGTTATGCGCCTTTTACCGAGGGTGGATAACGAACTTCTGATTGAAGCTGTACCAATCTCAAATAATAGAAGTATCGTGTGGATCAAATTCAGTTACAAATTAGTTATGATAGAGCACTGATAAACAACTATTGGTCCTACTATAGCTTGCGGTCTACAAAGATATCTTTAGTCTAACCGAGCCGAACCGAGCTTAACCTAACCTGACCTGACCTTATATAACCCGAGTTAACTTAAATATCTTGTAGACCGCACGCTATACATGCACCCAACTATTTAAGTTCGATTTGATAAAAATTTTTGATTATGCGACTAGCACGAAGTTTATTCTCAGAACACTTGTTAATTGTCGATTGTCAACAGTGGCGGAGGAGGATGGGTCAACTGGGCATCTGGTGGACGTGGACAACACTGCTCACGCTGGCTCAGATATACCTATATCAGCAGGAGGGCGGCCTCACCCACACACTCCAGCCACACCGCACCCAGGGCCGAGAGAACGTATATATGCATAAACACTGTGTTAAGAGTGAGTGTTTCATCGTTCGTGTGTCCAGGAGAATTTTCTCAAAGATAGTTTTTATATCGTAAGACAACCCATGTGTCCAGTCATAATTTTCTAAATACTTTTTTGTCTCAAATATCAAACGTGTCAGGATTTTTTTTTCTTCAGACTTACAAGGTATACCTGAGGACACCTTTCTGACAAGGTTGATGATATTCTAAACTTGAAGGAAACGCTTCCTTGTACCACCTAGGACTATCATCTATACCAATTTAATGACGACAGAATCCAGTAGTAAATTTTTGGTCACCCATAAAACGAAATCGAAATTTTGTATACACACTGGAAATGTGTTTACGAGTTAAGTAATAAAGACAACCATTTACAAGGGTTGTGGTGTATACCCTGAAAATCAACCATCTTATGTCATGGTGATAAACTTCCCTTGTTTGTAATATATGCATGAAAACGGTATTATTTTAAAATACAAAATTAATTGTATTAATTCAACGGCACAATAATAATAATAATAATGTGAACACCTGAACGGCACTAACATGCTAGCTTTTGCATGTACGAAGAGTTAGCCTGTGGATGCGACTCTCCTATGTTGCTTAATAATTTTCATCAGATAAATGTACACTCACGCGCCTACTCCTGACTCATGGAAGTGGGTAGCCCTGGCTTCATACCAAACGTCCCTTCCCCCTCTCACCCCCCCCCCCTCCCCCCCACCCATTGTTCAGTGGTTCAACATGGTAGCTCGAAGCTTCGCTGGATTGTACGAATAGCAGTTCATGATGTAATATTTGAGAATATACAGTATGCACGATACAGGTTTTTTAGCGACTTCACAACACTTTATTACCATCATTATACTGACTGCTTCCCTCGAGCCAGGAGTAGGGGTAGAGGGTGCGTCGAAACTATAGCGAGTGAATGTACGTACTGCACATTCAAGAAAGCTGCAGCACACTAAAATCCTAACCATGTCGACACTGTACTGTTGTTGCTGTTCCCTTTGTATTAATCAGGCTAAATAAACCGTTTTAAATTCCATACTAATACTTCAACTTGTGTGACAGTCACGTGTTGGCGATGGAACCTCCGGTACCCCATCATTAATAACAACGACCACCGCCTGGTACGTTACCTGCGGCACATGATAGACCCTCCACCGCATGCCGCCCCTCTCCATCACCACCCTCTCTGGGACGCACCACGCTTACCCCCTCCATCACACTCCAGTCCTACATCCAGAAGGACCTCAGGACGCTTCCGCCATCATCAGCAGCTGGGGACTCCAGTTACTGACCCTGACCACCCTCCCTGGGAGAACATCACCTCCTACAAGGCCATAGAGAGGACCATCAGGGACTTGCTGGGTAACACGGTAAATGAACATGTCTATTATTTCAGTCTATACAAATTGTGTGGAAAACATATATATTTAGTCCTTTATTTTTACTTTGGATGTGTCCTTAAAATTCTTGCATCCAGTCCCCAAATTTTGTTTTGTGTAGGTATAACTTGTGACACTGCCTTGTCAGCTATTCCTGCCCAGAGAGTTAGCATCCAGCCATAAATCTATACTTCAACAAGCCTAATGGTAACCGGATCACCAGTTCAAGGAATTGTATCCATCTCATGGTCTCCGCTACATTTTCTGGGCCATCGTCCTGGGTATGTGTTAGTGAGAGGGGTGGAGGAAACATCCCGTTGTGGTTTTACAGAACAGGTGCCATCAGGTAATCGCAGCTAACCTATACAAGCGTGGAAAATAACCGTAAACCAATGATGATGATGAGTCTATCACATACACTGTGCTGCTGGACCATATCTGTCTCCTCCTTTCCATCTCTACTTGTGGGTCGATACAACGAGTTTAGGTGAGACATGAGCTAATACAGAAATTAAGATAATTATAACCGTAAATATGTCCACTGGACATAAATACCCCTGCCGGGAGCACGCTTGAAGCTTAAATGCGAATATAAAGACAATAAAAGATTGAAATTTCCACACCTCGAGAACCATTATGGCCCCGACTAGGAGAAATTATAAAATGAGGAGAAAATAACGGCCATATAAATACAGACGATTTGCTCTGTCGAAACTTATATTGGCTCCACTGAATAAACTTTGAATTTTATTATTTTATAGATTACTTTTTTCTTCATATCGCTGGTATTACTGTGATTCATTTATTCATTCTCATATTCATTATTAATTCGTTCATATATTCATTGCTTATTTATTAATTCATCTATATCTACTAGAAATAGTCTCATCTGCTGTTGAAGAACCAAGTACAGTATACTCATCATTAAGTGGCAGCTCAGACATACAGGAAAACACTATAGAGCGTTGTTGCCAGAACACACTGGGGGGGTTCATAACTCATTAAAGCGACAGCAGGCAAGGCCTGGTAGGGACATAATGAAGATGTGATGGTGAATGCATTTTCATAAACAATGAAAGCCAAGCAGTTGGGCTACAGAGGCAATATTTATGGCAAGAGAAATATCTAGGGAAGACGAGAAAGCTTCACTTGGTACTTGTACGTGTACATTAGAGCAGGGGTTCTCAAACTTTTTTTAACCAAGGACCCCTTATATACCATGACACATACAAATATTGTCAGTAATGAAAGGATAAATCACAGTCCAAAGCATTTGTTCATTTCAACCCAAATCCAAAATATCCTGCAAATTGGAATCGCCAAATCTCTCACAAACGTTAAACACACTATTTCTCAAAAACTTTTCGCGGATCCCCGGTTTGAGAATCACTGCATTAAAGAATGCATCTGACAGAGTACCGCTTGAGACATTTAGGGGTTCAGGAGTGTAGTACAATTAGTTTACTTTGTATGACGACACAAAAACCTCTGTGAGAGTAAATGTCGAGGAAAGTGAAAATATTTCCTACGAAAATAAGGGTTCATCTAGGGACTGTCTTGAACCCCCTTCTGAAAATAATGGGGCTAGGGGAGGTAAATTTTCACTTGCTGCCACTATACAAAATCGAAGTTGAAAATATGTTTTTTCCGATGGTTTTGTGTGTGTGTGAACACAGGGTGGTATAATGCGTCTAGTGTGGCAGCATTATGTTAGTGTTAAGGTGCAAGCACTGCTTGCTTCCTCTCGCTTTCAGCTACTGCCGCTGGCTAGCCCTCATGGCGAACAGGGAAGCAACTTCCCCTGCCAGTACACAGCCTCTTCACCACCAAGACTCTTTTTGTGCCTCCTCGTGGCAACACACGGTAGCTGGGTGCTTCGTGGACCCAGGCTAGACCAGTAGGGGATCTCGGAGTAGCAGTGGGCCCCAAAGGGACGACGCATAGGCCCACTGGCATGTGGACACGTCCTGGAGCCTACCAACCAATGCCCCGCTGCCTTGCGGATTAACCTCGGTAGGTATAAGGCTACGGGAGTAAACCCCGTACAAAAAAATCTGTGTTGGAGTCCTGCATCAGGCAGAATTGCTTACAGAGCTCCAACAAAGACCCCAATGGCGGTATAGGCAGAAGAGTTAAACAACATGGGAACCCAACAACTACACTGGCAGAAGAAATCAATGTATGATGAACAGGCTACTAAGGTGAAACTCAACAAACTGGGCTATAAGCAGTCCATTGCAACTCTCCCTCTCCCCAGTCGTTGCAACACTTGCACCACTTGATAAGGAAAAGGGAGAGTCATGATGTGTGGTTGCAGTCTGCGCTCCTGCCTTACCACATAAATCAACTCGTGCGCAGCCATCATCCAACTCATTATCATCAAACTCTTACACTCCAAAACTCCTATGGTGACGGACGAGTGGCGACGGGGACAACCAGAGATGACTGCCGAGAGTCTCAAGTCACAACTCTGCACATGGGCGGCACAGATATGATGGTCGCTAATGCACTGGGATCTAGGCAGCAGTGCAATCCAGCCCTGATCCTGTCTGTGCGACTGAGCAGCACTTTCGAGGAGACACTCTGCTCACTCCACATAGGGAGGGGGCTAGAAAAGGTGCCCTAAACAGTCTGCCTAAAGAATCAACCTGACCGGGCATTCGCACCTAGTAAGGTCATCCTTATGCGGTCGAAAACACAATTACAATCACAGATCAAAACAAATTATACAACCTCTTATGGTCACTGCATGGAAAGTCAGGACCCTTCTGGATAAAGGCGCAAATGCACATCCTCCAAGAACCACCACCCTTGTGGCAAAAGAGATGACTAGATTTAACATCGACAGAGCAGCCGTTAGTGAGTCCCGGCTCCCAGCCTAGGGTCGACTCACAGAACGAAGGTCTGGTAACACCTTCTTCTGGAAGGGCAAGCCTGCTGCGGAGAGCCACATTTATGGCGTTGGCTTTGCCATCCACTGACGCATCCTACACAGGCTAACTGAAATGCCTATTGGGATCAACGAGCGCCTCATGAAGCTCCGAGTCCCACTGAATCACTCACGCCATGCCCTTTTCATCAGTGCATATGCCCCAACACTGGATGCAGAGGATGGCATCAAAGAAGCCTTTTATGCCGACCATGACAGAGTGCTAATGTCTATCCCCACAGAAGATAAGGTTGTGCTACTTGGTGACTTCGATGCCTGAGTTGGTAAAGATGCTAACATTTCGCAGGGAATCATAGGGCCTACTCCCCCTCAGCAAGTGTGCTGCACACAACCTCACTATCACCAATACCTTGTTTAGGCAGGCCGACAAATTCAAGGGTTCGTGGCAACACTCACGAACCAAACACTGGCATCTCATTGACTACATCACTGTCAGAGAAAGAGATCGCCGAGATGTCCTCATCACCCGAACAATGCGAACAATGCGTGGCTCAGACCACAGTGACACTCATCATCAGCTAGTCAGAGCCAAGCTCTCACTTCACGTTCCCCAAAACAATGAAGGCAACAAGCTTCCAGAAGAGGTTTTAACACTAAGCGTCTGGAGGATCCAGCCATAGCACATGATTTCAGAGAGCAGCTCGAACATGGGCTGATAAACAACCCAAATTCCAGTGCCGAATGGAGTATTCTCGACACTATCATGACAAAAACCTGCAGAGCGACCATCGGTCAGGTAGAGAGAATACACCAGGACTGGTTTGATGAAAATGACCCAAAAATCAATGTACTCGTCGATGATAAACGTGTTGCTTTAACTGACCAAAGCTGATACCTTCCACAAGAAGAAAGCGGCGGCCCAGCGCCAACTTCGCAAACTAAAAAACGACTGGTTTAAAAACAAAGCATGTGAAATGCAGAAACTTGCAGATCAACACAAGATGCACGAATTTTTCAATTCCACAGAACATTTTATGGGCCAATCACTCATGGCACAGCCCCCCTCCACTCATCCGACAGTAACTCCCTAATTAAAGACAAAGAAGAGATCTGTCAGTGCTGGAAAGAGCACTACCATTCGCTGCTCAACCTGACTGCTCAGCAGGTCCCTCAACATCCAGAGCTGACCCACCTCAGCTATCCTCCATCCCTGGATGAGGTAGCTACTGCCAACAAACATATGAAAAACAACAAAGCCTCAGGGTTTGATGGAATCCCAGCCGAGGTGTGTAAAGCAGGAGAACCTCTGTTTACTATCTGTCTCCACTCTCTTCTAGAAAATATATGGGAAAAGGAGGAAATCCCTCAAGCTCTTAAAGACTCCTCCATCGTCAATATTTATAAGAACAAGGGAGACCGGTCAGTCTGTGGCAACTATCATGAGATCTCGCTACTGTCCGTAGCTAGCAAGAGTATCACCTGAGTCCTCCTGAACAGACTACTACTGTACCTAGGGCGGATAAACTCCTCCCAGAATCTCAGTGTGGCTTTACATCATCCCGTGGCACCACCGACATGATCTTTGCTGCCCGCCAGATGCAGAAGTGCAGATAACAGCATCGTGACCTGTACACGGCCTTCGTCGACCTAACCAAGGCCTTCGACTTGGTCAACAGGGAAGCCCTCTGGCGGACCCTCAGCCAGTTTGGCTGCCCACCAAAATTCATCGCCATTGTGAGGCAACTCCACGACGGCATGAGCGGCGGTGTCCTGGAAAATGGCACTTAGCTTGCATTCTTTCCCATCCAAATGGGAGTTAAACAAGGGTGTGTACTAGCACCAACTCTCTCTTCCATTTTCTTGGCTACCTTCCTTACTCATGCCAGTGCCAATAGCTGGCGGGGTGGGCATCGTGTACCGGATGAACGGCGGTCTTTTCAACATAAGACGACTCCGGGCAAGAACAAAGGTGTCGGCAGCTTCCATTACTGAGCTTCAGTATGTAGACGACCGCCCCCTTGCCACTCACATTAAATGTGATCTACAAGAAATCCTGAACACCAACGGTCCTACGCAAATACGCATGCACACTTCGGCCTTG